CGTCAATTGACTTTATTTTTTTTAGTGATATGTGGTGCTTAGAATTGAACCCAGTGCCTCACACATGCTAGGCAAGTGCTCTACCACTGAGTCACAACTCCAGCCCAGCACCATTATTCTTTGAGGGGATAAAGGACAGGATTGGGGTTCAAAGTATAAAGTTAATTATATGCACACTCTCATTTATATTATTTGTTCTAATCATTATTCCTCTTTCTTTATTCTTCTAAGTTAATTTGAGCCCCAGCCCAAATATGGGATATTTTCCTCATTATTAGCATGTTTGTTTATTTATAGAAATTCAAATGTAAGTGTCCAAAATCCAAGCATGATGGGAAAATAATTCATGTTGTCTATACTTTCATTAGTTTGAGATGGTACTAATTGCACTCTTGATTTGGAGGCCTCTGATTTGACACATTGGATGTTTGACCATGTTTATAAACAATTTATTTTTAATATCCTTGAACTAAGCAGACATTTCTTTATTCTTATTCTGTGAAATGAGAGAAAAATAATTTCCATACACATCCTCGGGTCATTCTTAACTATTTGAAATGAATAGGGATATATACATATATGTAATATATAATATACACACATACATATATGAACACATATAAATGTACACAGCATTATGTAAATACACACTATGTATGTATGTCTGTGTTTGTGGATATATATATTTGTGTGTGTGTGTATACATACTCACATATACATACAGAGAGAGTGCAGTCACTGTGGAATGGCCTAAATTTGTATACTTGGTCCTACTATGATCACTTGTCTTAGTCTCCCTTGCATAAAAACTACTCAAGTCTGTCTGTGTGGACACCTCAAATGATACTTTTGCATTTCTTTCCTGGCAGCTATGGCTTGCATTTGAGGCTTTCAAAGTGTTTTCCCATCAAGGGAATGTGTGACCCACACAAGAAATGTCATAGGTTCACTATTTATATAAAATTATGCTAAATATCAGTTAAGTTCAGCATCTGAATATTTAATAACTTCCCTTGTACATATCAAATAATTTGTTGTACAATTTTAAAAGTCAGTTCTGAATTAGGATGAATTAAAATTAAAAAGAGACATCAATATTTTTTAAATTTCAGTTTTCTTGATAATCATTTGCAAAGCATTTAAGACATGTCTTTTAAAAATGAACTTAAAAATGGCATGAAGAGATGTTGATGTGTACAATTCAACTCATTGAAAAAATATGTCTTACATATAAATTATTTTAAGTGAGCAAAAGGTGTAAACAGTAAAGTTTTAAAAAATCAGTCATAATTAGTTAATGGCAGCATTTAGGCAGGTTAAGCCAATGCACTTGAGATCCGTCAACTAGACTAGAATAAGTCTAGTTTGCTTGATTTTGAAAATAAGGATGTGTAGTATTCTGATTCAGAGTGATATCCCCAAATCTTTCACTCTGTGCCTCTGAATCTTCCTGATGAATAATTGAGATGGAAGGTCACTGCCCTAGAAAAGATGTGACAAAGAACAATGCAGTATGAGCCTCATGGGAGAAAAGTCCCACTTCATGAGCAACACAGAGTGTCACATACCTTCAGCCCCTCTGTGACACTGTGTCTTCTTTGCAGCTCTGTAGGAGTGATCATGTGAAGCCTATAAGAATAGCAGAAATTTTTTTATGCTCTACTACATTGACTCGGATGGAAGTGGCCCTCTAGGACCAGCTCTTGTGTACTGTAACATGACCTGTATGTTATGCTCTTCTGTAATTGTTAAATTCCTATGGGTTTTTACTGTGTGCAAAATCAAAATTAAGAAAGTCAAGCATTTACTTAGTTGGCATGCTTATTTAAATGTGCATTGTGATTGTAATGTGAATGCCAAGAAGTATTTTTTAAACTGTTATAAAACAAGTAAAAGGTGGTAGTTAAAAGTTGTGTCTTATTTCCTGGAAATGTTCTTTCCTTGTGATATAATTACCAATAAGTCTTTGCTTATTAGTTTAACACAAAAAGGATAAATGTTTTTTCCACATCAATAAATGTCAAATATTTAAGAGACTGTTCACTCTTTTATCCTATTATGGTGGACATGGTATCTGTGGCCTCATACCTGCTAGGCAAATGCTCTACAGCTGAGCTTCATTCCCAGCCCTCTATTCACTTTCTGAATCCATGAAAATGTCCTCTTGGCTTTGTTTTGAATATTTCTAAAATATTTTATTTTATTCTCTGGATTTATTGAGGTGTAATTGACAAATAAAATTATATATATTTAAAGTATACAACTAGCTGTTTTGAAATATGTATACATGGTGAAACGTTTGCCCTTGTTAAGCGAATTAGTGTAGCCATCCCATTATGCCCTGTGTAATTCTTTCTTCCTTTCTTTTCTTTCTCTCTTTCTTTCTTTTCTTTGGTCAGACAGTTAAGATTACTGTCTTAGTACATAGCAAGTATATAGTACAGTGTTGTTATTATAGTCACCATAATGTGTGATATGTTATCAGAGATTATTTATTCTTCATATCTGAAATTTTGTACCTTTTGAGCAACATCTCTCCATTTCCCCCTTGCCCAAGCACTGAAATTGCCATTCTACTGTGTAGTTCTAAGAATGCCTTGTTTAGATTCACATAAGCAGATGGATTTTTTTGGAAGATAATAGATATTTGCAAATAGCTTTTAAAAAAAGCCTGATGTAGTTTACTATTTCTAAATCATACATACTTCATGTAACCATGTATTCACATATTTGATATGTAAGAAATAGCTTTTTTACCTAGAAAACCAATTATAAAATAATTGTGTGTTGTTGAGAGCAATAAATACACATTGTACACAAATCTTTGACTCTTCCTATTTGATATCTGCTCCTGCAAGTAAAGGAGCTCAGGAGGACTTAATTATCAAGTGTAGAGAATGACAACTACCCTAACTTAATTGGTGTGAGCCACAGCCTCTCTGAACATCTACAGGTTTTGTCTCTTCTTCTGTAACTGTACATGTGTGGACCTCTCCTCCTCAACATCATTTCACCAACCAAAAGGGGACAACCCTCCTTTGGGGAACTGTTTCTGTATTACCCTAATAGTATAGAAACAGGTAATTCAACCTCTGCTGAATTTGATCCTGCACATTCTCAGATAACATTCAGAAAAATATCAGTTCTAGATGATACTAAGATAATTATGAATTAGCTATAATTTGGTATCCCTATTATTACTACTATATACTGCCATAATAGAGCTGCAATTTCCACAAGGAGGGAATTATGCATGGATTAATTTATGAGGGTCTGCAAGTAGCTTTTTAAAAAAAAGCCTGATGTAGTTTACTATGTTGCTCCTGCTGGCCTGGAACTGGCGATTCTCCTGCCTCACTCTCCGGAGTAGCTAGGAACAAAGCCATGTGCCATTGCGCGGGGTTTTGTAATTGGAAACAACAATTTACTTGAAAATAAAATCATCTGATGGCTTCTCAGTACCTGAGTCGAAGCCTTTTATTTCCTACTTCCCTCACTACCTCAGAATCTTTGCTCCATTCCCATCTGCCCCATCTATCCTATTCAATCTACCAAAATGTCCCAGATACCTCCAACCATTTTCTTCTTTGGATTTTCCTCTAAAATGCTGTATAATTATGTTCCAGCATTCACACAAAAGAAGAGTACTAGATACTGACTCAGATGAACTTGTCATTTCCTGGAATCCAAGATTCCACGTTGCTCATGGAGGGCGTCAGCAAAGCCCAGCTCTACTAAAGGGAGCCCTCAACTGGGGTCTGGGCACCAGATAGGTTCAGCCAGGGCATTGCCTCTCAAATGCGGAGAACTACACTTCCCAGAATCCTGGAGTCTCCAGTGGACTACATTTCCCAGACGAACTAGCGGCCAATCCTGTTCCACCCTGCTCTGGCCTTGTAGACCTTTGGGGCCACTGAGTGTTCGCTGCTGCGTGCGCTTATTCAAGGGTCTGAGATCGGTCGCTGACTAGATTCCCACGCCAGGCTGCTGGCGGACGGGGCGGTTTCGGAACCTCCAGCTTGCGGAGCCCTGCCCAGCGAGGTGTCGCCCCGGGTGCCCCAGGCCAGAGGAGGTGAGCAGCAGAGGACGGTGGGAGGCGGATCGGGGCCTCGGGAGAATGCTGCGTCCGGAGTGGGGAAATGGCCCCTAAGGTGTGTGGAGAAGCTTTTTTGATCAGGGCGACACCCCAGGACCTGTCACCAGTCCCCGCTAGCCATCCCGCGATATCGCCTCAGATGTGTCGGGTTGTGCAGTTATCCCGGGTTTGCAGCAGGCCCGTCTCCTGATTTCCCAGGTCTGTCCACAGTACCTGCCCTGCCCTACCCTACCTTGCTGTGTCCTGTTGCTGTTTGTTTTGCTGCGGGACTCAGTAGAATGTGTGAGAAAATGAGTTTCTTCCCTATGGCTTCAGCACTTGCAGTGGCGGGCGTAGTGACCTGTCTCACTGAGGAGAGAGGTGCTGGCTCTCTGATGGCACAATCAGGATTAGTACCCAGGTCTTTGGTTTCTGTGCCTGATCCCCTTCCCTCCATTGGAAAGCTACTGTTTTTCTTTTATGGAACAGCTTTCTCTAAAATCTGGGAATCGATTCCTTGACAGGAGGCAGAGGAATTTGGGTGGCAATTTTGGAGAAAAATTGCAAGGTGCACAGTGAGATTAGAGCAGATGCTCAGGGACAGGAATCCTGGTGCCATTGTCACTGGCTTTGTGAACTGGTGCATTCTGTCCTCAGTTTTCCATTTCTACAAAATGGAATGGAGCAATGCCAGCTGACTCTGTGGGATTGAACAGTGTAAGGCTGTTGGTGCCTGCCACTTGGTGAGGCTCAGTGAGTCCCTGCTGCTGATGGAGTCGCATGTCCTCCTGAGTTTTGCTTCTGGAAAGCTACATAGCCACAAAGAGTGGGGCCCTTGTCCAGGACGACCCCAGTTATTTTCTCCAGTTTTGTGCACTCCCAGATCTTTCTGACTTCCCTCTGTGGTCACTTGTGGTGAAAAAATTTTAGAGCTCCTGATTTTGAGGGATGGAAAGCAAAGGGGGCTTTCTTGTGGTTTCTTTTTCTTCTCTTAGATCCACCTCCAGGAGACTGCACCTACTCTGGGGCAAGTGCCCAGAAAAAGGACATGACTATTGAGCAAAGAGAAGCAAAGTCCCAGGTGAGCTTGCTCATTGCCATGGCTATTTTTAGTGGATGGATTTTCCCTCTCCCATTTACAATACAACCTTCACCAGAATTCAGAGCACAAGTCCTTTGATCTTGGGGGAGCTGCTCCACCCTCACAGGTGGTGGTGGATTCTGTAAGGAATACTGCCCATACTCCTGCGTCTAGTGCTCACTTTTTTCTTGTTAAACGTGTTTTTGTTCATTAATCTCAATCTATTGTGTGATTACTAGTTTGATAGGAATACTTGCCACAAGTATGTAACACTAGGGACTGAACAAACATGCACACCTGCTGAATTTCCTTTCTGGCCCTCTCTCCTTCATTCATTCTTCTCTTCCTCCCTTCCCTTGGCAAAATGCTATTTTTTAAAAAAATTTCCATTCTGAGCAAGTGCTTTGCATACAAAAACTGATCTTGACCTACCATTTTTATTTCTGTGCTGGGCAACTGAAGGAGGCACCCCATCCAGGTGACATAACCTGTGAACAAAAAATAGCCATGTTACAGGGCATACAGTTGGAGAGGTCTTTTTCTCTGAAGACAAAGAGGATGCTCCTCAGGAAGCTCTAGGAGGGCTCCATGAGGATCTTATGAGATATTGGTGGTAGAAAAGCACCACATGCTATAGTTGTAAATGGGGTCCTCAAGAGAGTCAAATTTTAACTCAATTCCTTTGTTATGTTTGTGGGCTTTGGGCAAATAACTCCACCTCTCAGTGCCTCAGTTTCCTCACTTAAGAAATCAAAATAACAGCTATGCCTACCTCCTAGAATAGATGAGAAGATTACTTGAGTTAGTACATGAAAAGTGTTTATATAAGGGGTGGGCACAAACCAATTGCTCTGAGTGTGGTTATTACAGCAGTTGAATGATACTATATTAATAATAGTATTAATTTCATGGATAGAAATTGGTAAGGACATGGTGTACATTGCTTGCCTAGCTTTTTAATAAGATCCTAGGTTTTATCCCCAGCATCATATTTTTTTAATTATATAATGTTTCTAGGACCTAGAAAATACTGGTACTTTCTCTACTTGCATTCATCTAACTCTAGCAGTTGGTATTTCTTGAGTATCCAATATGCTAGGGAATGTTCTGAGGGTTTTGCATTTGTTATTTCTCATTCTCACAGCAACATGGCAGTTATCCCCTATAAATTTGGATCAATTATCTCCTATATAATATGGTCCTCAAAGGTCCATGTGTTTAAGATGTGGCCCTGAACCCATTTTATAGACATATGAGGAACTGAGGCTTAAATTAGTCAAGTACCCAAGTTCATTCAAGTACAGACAGACCCAGCTACCTGATCTGAAGCATTTTAGCAATATTGCAATATTTATGGACTCAAAATCATGGTGGAGTTTGATCTTCTGAGACTATAGCCAGGATCCACCATTGTCTGTTTTCTTTAAGCCTTTTCCATTCTGTTCCAATGGGGCCAAGTTGCTCTCCTGCTCAGAACCTTTCTTCATTCCTGTGTGTAGGTCAAACACTACTGTACCTCCATATCCTCAGGATATTTAGGACCAGAGAGAGTGCTGGATTCGCAACTGGAATACTTAAATTATGGTCTTGCTACTGCCACTGGTAAAGCATGTAATCTCAGGTCTTGGTTACACTTGATCTCATTTTCCTTTTCTCTGAAATAAAGATTGAACTAGAAGATGGCATATGATCCTGCCTGTGCTGCAGTTTTGTTTTGTTGCAGTGCTAGAGATCAAACCCCAGGGCTCTTGCACATCAGCACAAATTCTACTGTTGAGCTATACCCACAACCCCTACATAGCTGTCTTTCATTGTTCAAATTATTTAATGCATTTTCCTTGTGCGTTATTTGCATTGTAAATTTTTTGAGGACAAAGATCATTTCTTGTATTTCTTCCATATGTCAATAAATTATTTTTCTTGTCATATATTGAATACTCTTGGTAGAGATTTCAGAGAATAATAAAAACATATGAATAGTAAAAGCCAGTTTATTTCCATTATACTCTTACAACATTTTTATGATACTAGGAGTGGCAGGGAAGGGAGATTCCTCACCCATCAAGTAAGCTGCAGAAAGAGACACTGGCTGGGTGTCCTTTAATCCAATTTATTTTTGACACTGTTTCCTTGGGAATAGCAACAGGTCTCATAGGTTGAACACTTAGCCCCCTAAGACTTTCCCCTATTCAGGTACCAGTTTAGGCCAGTTATGACCAACCAGCTATTAATTTGGTTTACCCAGCAATTCCCTCCTTTATTAATTTGGTAGAGCATTTACAGAATTAAGGGAAACATTTACCAGCTTATTATAAAAGTTTTCACCAAAACAATAAAAAAATAAGTTATCAGAAAGGATCCAGATAAAGAGGTACATAGAATGAGGTATAGGTGTGCCACCCTCTAAGAACCTCCGTGCTTTCAGCTCTCAGACTGTCCAAATCCTTTCTTTTCAAGTTTTTATGGAGACTCTGCTAATACAGGCATGATATATTAAATCATTAGCCAAATTTACCATCAGGCCACATAGAAATATATGCCTCAGTTATGTATTTCCTTTGTCAGTCTTTAGCATATAAAAAATCACTATTCATTTATCACTTCGAAGATTCTATGGATTTTAGGAGATGTGTGTCAGGAAATGGGATGAAAACCAAATGTTTATTTTACAATATCAAAACATTTATAAAAAAGAAAGTAAAATCACTTCCTTCAACATCTAGAGATAACCATTGACAACTCTTTGGTGTATATCCATAAGAATTCTTCTCTATGTTCTTTTATTTAAATGCATATGTATATGTATTTGATCTTTTTAAATTTTTATTCTAAAATGTACATACTGTATGATTTTAGCCATTTTTGAGTATATAATTCAGTGGTATTTTAAGTATATACATTCACATTGTTAAGGAACCATCATCATCTATCTCCATTGTAAATGATGATATAAAACAACACTTGGCTTTAAAGAAAATAAAATAGCTTGAACCAAGTATGAGTGGCACAGGAACATGGATTCAAGTTGCCTGAATGATTTGTTTTGATGTGGAAGAGGTTACATGAACTGTTTTATAGCCAAAAAACAAAAGTCTTCGAGCAATATGTTTAAGAAATAAATTGGTGGGGAAAGTAGGTAGGTGAGCTGTAGCAAAGAGGGAAAGTTTTTACTATAGGTATTGACTGTTACAGCCTTCTTAGATTTAGAGTTGGTGCAGGCTAGAGGTCTATTAAGCTATTAATACATTCTAAGAGGTTTACCTAATAGGAGAATGTTAGGTCAGATACAAAAGTTAAAGTAAATGACTTTTTTTAAAAGGCCCCAATGTACCCCAAGCTAATTTTGTCTCTCAACCTACAATTTGTCATCTCTCCAGAAACAGGATGTTCTCAGCTGAGGTCAGTCTGCATGATCTTTAATAAAGATGTGGCACTGGGGAATAAAATTGACTGATTTATGTTATATGCATGTATAATTATGTCAGAATGGATTCCATTATTATGTATAATTATAATGCATCAATAAAAATTAGTTGAAAATATAGATGTGGCTTCTTCAAAGAAATTCAGCTTCTTAATAGGTTGTCTCACTTATATATTTTCTAACCCTATGAGGTAGGCATTGGGAGGCAGATATATAGATTGACTAAGAATCAAGCTACAACTACTAGGGTTGGAATTCCACTTTTATCACTGATCCACTGTGTGACTTTAATAGACTTGTTATCCTTTCTGTACTTTTTTTTTCTTTTGTGGAATGGGGACGATGATATTATCTTCTTAAGTTGTGGTGAAGATTAAATAAAAGACTAACATGAAGCTCTAAGAGCAGTACTTGGCCCATAGAAAGCATTTAATAACTGACAGCTATAAGAAGAAAATATTTAATTAGGCTCTGACCATGGCTACTTGACCCTGTCACTTTGAGGCTATGGCAGAACAGTACTTCATGGCCAGGAATGTATGTCAGAGTAAGTTGCTCACATCATGACAGCTGGATAGTGAAGAGAGAGACAAGAAGGGGCCAAGGTCCCAAATTCCCTACAAGAGCTCACCCGTTGACCTAACTTCCTTTTACTAGGCCTCACCTCTTAAAGATTCCACCTCTACCCAATAGCATCTTGGGCTGGAGACCAAGCCTTTAACACCTTGGCTCTAGCAGCTATGTTCATACTTTCTGTGGCTCAGTGTGTTTTTGTCATTGAATGAGTATTCATTAAATGAATGACCTTACCCCTTGAGAAACTTGAATAGTATCAGCAGGATCATTCCCCTGCCTTCTCTTTATTCCCCTTTGTCTAATCCAAAGAACTTTTATTCTTGCCTAACTACCTCCCTGCCTTATTGTGGATTAACATCCACATATCAGAGAAAACAATCAGCCTTTGGATTTTGGAATCAGATTATTTAATTTAACTTGATATACTCCAGTTTCATCCATTTACTGGCAAGTGCCATAATTTCATTCTTCTTTATGGCTGAGTAGTATTCTATTTTGCATATTTACCAATTTTCTATATCCATTCATCTGTTGAAGGGAACCTGGTTGGTTCCATGGTTTAGCTATTTTGAATTGAGCTTCTATAAACATTGATGTGACTGCATCACTGTAGTATGATATTTTAGGTCCTTTGGGTACAAAATGAGGAGTTGGATAACAAGAGCAAATGGTGGTTTTAGTCAGAGTTTTCTAAGGCATCTCCATTGTGCTTTCCAGAGTGACTGCAACAATTTGCAGTCCCACCAGCAATGTATGAGTATAAATTTGCCCCCACATTGTTGACAACATTTATTTTTCTTCATATTCTTGAATATTGTAAAGACAAATTTTAATAAATACAAAAACTGTTGATGTAATCCCATGTATCCTATCAGATTATAATTAGAAGATACTAGAAAGCAATGGGAAGGAAAGTAATATAAACAACACAAACACATGGAGATTGAATAATAATCTTAACTGAGCTCTTATTGAATAGTGCTCTTAAATTAAAAAAGAAATGAGAATAGAGATTCAGAAATTCTTAGAAATAAACAATGAGATAAAATATATCAAAATATTTTCAATATTATGAAAGTGGTTCTAAGCAGAAAAGTTATAGCATTGAGTGACTACACTGAACATGGGTTCCAGATGAATGAGTTTATGTTATACCTCAAGGCCATAGAACAAGAAAAACAAATTGCCAAATCTATAAAAACAAGAATTAATTAGATCAGGGCAGACATCGTTGAAATTGAGAATAAGAAAACAAACATGGGGTCAATGTAATGAAGAATTTGTTCTTTGAAAAGATAACTAAGATTGGTGCTAGAAGACCTAAAAAGCAGCTATCATCCAAGTTTACAAGTGAATTATGACCACTTACACGGCACAGCTGGTATGTAGCCTTTAAATAACCACTTTAAAAGTTTTCTGTTCAACTTAAGAGTATCACAGCTTATGAGATAGTAGTCCCCTGTGTTTCTTCTTTGCTAATTATTTTTTCCTTTTTCTCCAAAATTTGTCCTTAGGTATGACTTTTCTTCAGGGATAAAGTCTGACCTTTGGGTAACACCATAGTATTTACTGAAATCAAGTCACTGATGGGCGAGTATATGGGCTGTAACAACTCTTCCTCTCCTTCTTTTTTTCTGTCTATGCCCTTTTTTTTCTCACAAACTTAAAGCAAATTTATAGAATTGAGATATGTTTTCCTGTTCCCTTCATGGGAGAAGAAAATTAATTGTGAAACAATTAGGCTGACAGTCATGTTTTCTGCCTAAATATGGCCAAATACATTAAGAATTGAAAATGAAAACCGAAAATCAATAAAGAGCCTACAGCAGGAACAGCCTATTTGCACATCTTATGGTACCAAATGACAATATGGAAAGGAAACTCCTGTGTTCCTTATGACCTTTTACTGTTTTTAAGAACTAAGAAGCCTTCGTGGTTAGCCAGGCTCTTTCATGCTTTGGCTTAATTGTTCTTACATAATTTTAAATGCACATCATATCTACAGCATGACAATTAATGGATAGCCTAAGTACTTATCATTTCAAACTAGTTTATATACAGGAAAAGTTTAAATAAACTAACAGAGAACTATTTTACCTTTATTTATTTTTATGTGGTGCTAAGGATTGAACACCGTGCTATAAAACAAGGTGCAATAAAATTTATATTTTAACAACAGTGACACATAATGAAAACAAGATGCTATCTTTTATTTATACAATTTTCAAACAGATATTTCATGGTTGCAATAGTCCCCCAATAAAAAATGGTCAAACATTATAGAAATATCTTAAAATATTTATAGAAATATCTTAAAATATTTAAAATATCCAACATAGTTTGAACATTGCTTTTATTATCAACTCTTAAGTAGATAGAGCTCTTCATTTTTGGAATAAGATTTAAATCTCCCAAAAAACTCTTAGTATGAATGAAATTATGTGATTAAACTGCAAGGTTTCTGTTACATCTCCAGGAAGATGGAGTCAGTGCTCACTGTACATAAGACGGAAGATAGAAAGAATATAATCGATTCTATTTCTATTTAAATATTCTTAATACCACTGCCACTTTAGATACGGATCATATGTAATGGCTCCTTGTTTTATAAATTCAAATAAATGTTTAATTCAACCATTTTAAGTATATTATAATAGCAGTAACAGTACAGCAATAAACAGGTTTTACAAAAATTATGATGAAGATCATGTAAATAAAAACAATCAAGGATATATTTTCACTGAAGAACATGTCAAACAATTTAGCAAAAGCAAAAATTAAACAATTTTAGTGTTACAAGTTTATGAACTTACAAAATTATTTAATATTTTTTTACATTATAAACATTCATATTGATAACATTTTTGAGTATCAATCATGCATTTATGACTACAGGTGGAAACCTTGGGGTGATTGCAGGATAAATGAAAGTGTTAAAAGCACAGAGAAACTAAAACTACACATAAGGTATGTTACATACTTCAATATCTTCCTTCAGTTATAGACAGTGATATTTATTTTAAAAAGTAATTTAAATGAAGCACTTAAGGAAAGTTCAAATTATCAGTTCATTTTTATTTTTTGAATACAGTTAACAAGTAAGTATCTCTTGAAAATGAGGTATCCAGTGATTTTTTTTTAAATTGTATTTTTGTTTTCTTAATATAGATTATCATGACCTTTACTTAACATACATAGCTCAACTAAACAACTCAGTATTTCACTAAGTCAAAACAAGACTATCAGAAATGAAGTCTGAAACCAAAAATAGTAACATAATGTAACTAATCTTAGCCAGTTAGTTCACTACATTTTCTCTTTGAATAAAAATTTTGGTGGGTACCCAATTATATGTAACTCAATGATACATTGGGACAGAACTTGTACCTAGAGGACCATATGCAGTTTGGCTCTGTTTCTCCATCAGGAGTCTGCTAGTATTACCCTCCTATAGGCTCTTTTTGATTTTTTGAGGATTACACAAGGTAATTAGTTAATATTTCAATTTTTTTCTCTAGGTGACATGCATTTTTTTAAAATACTCTCACCTGTCTTCACATCATTTCTATTGTACATGAATCCTTCTACCCTTACTAGTCTAGAAATGGAAATTCAGTGTCAAATTAATAAATGATAGATAAATACAACTATCTTTGTACTGGAAAAGTCTATATTCTTTTCATGATAGCAATTGAGGTTTGAAGAAAACTATGATCAAGTTATCATGAACATAATTAATAATTTACAGATTGAATCAACCATGGTTTTGCTGCAATTCATCACATCTGCCTCAATGTATGATACTGACAAGTAGATGTTTTTAATCAATTTTCTGATTTAAATAAAATTGACATTAATACAATTAAATTTTCCAACTAGAAATATATAAAAGTTTAGTGAAGGAAATGTATTATGAAATACAACATTTGCATTTCAGTTCAGCTGGACAATCTATAATTAAATGTTAATTGCAACTAATTATAGGCATTTCCATGTGTCTCTTTCCTTGTGGTCTTAAAGTATGGCAACAGGAAGACATGGAGATGATGTGTATTACAGAGTTAGAGCATGTGTTTACTATATACAAAGCTTTGACTTTAGTAGCCAGGACCAATAATAAATATTGTTTCATCATTATTGAGAATATATTACTAACATCAGCATATATAGCTACTAAATATCTGTATATCAACCTCTTAAAATTTTACAATTCTTTACTCAAAATGAAACATCTATTAGGTCCAAGGTTTTTGATATGTTTCCTTTCTTAAATTTTAAAATCTGTTTCCTGTGTTCAATTGGCATATAACTGTATACATATATGAGATAGTGTTTCTTTAAAATATGTACTCAACATGTAGGAATCAGAGCAACATTTAACTACACACAAATATCACTTGGGGTATTCCTTTAAAGATAATTCAAATAGTTTACTTGCTTGATACTTCTTTTTTTCTGCTTTCTCTATTCATATTGCTATCCTTTTTAAAATGATAATTTTCATGGATTAATTTAATATTTCTGTTTTCCAGGATAAGATGTTGTCTTTCATTCTGAGTGTGAAATTGTTTTATAATATCACAAAATTTGTCTTGGCTGTTAATGAATTCACTGTTTTGCTTCTCAACTTTGTTTTGAAGGTTATAACATTCCTGTTGAAACCACATAATTTCACTTTGGAGTCTAAATAATCTCTAGTCTCTAATAGATTTCTGCTTTCTGAGGCATTCTTTCATTTTCCTTTGTTCATTTTGATATCTATGTTCCATCCCCTTCATTTGGCATTTTTGTTTGTTTTAGGTGTCTTTTCCTTGTTCTGAAACTAAAGTCATTACTCTGAGGGTATCTCTTTTCTGACCAATCTCATTTTCTAGGTCACTGATCTTCATTTCTGACTGTGAACCCTGTAGGAAAGGAATTTCACTACTGTCTTTTAGGTTAGATACATCAAAATTCTTCTTTTATATTGAACTAAAGTCCTCTTCCCTGGCTCTTTGGAAAGCAAATTCTAGATCTCTTTTTGGTGTTTGCCTTTCATTGCAAGGATGTGGAACAGCAGCCAATCTGGAAGAGTAGGATTTGACTTCTGATTTCAGTCTTTCTGTGCTTTTTTTCTCATTCTGCTGTGTAAACTTTTGCATTGTATACGCCACTTTTGGAATATCCAACTGTTCATTATGGGGGCTTGTTGGTTTTGTGTTTCCTCATTCAGGTTGTGTGTCCTTTGAAGGTCATCACTCCTTTCTCTTAAAGTTTCAGTAATGTCACTGTGTTTCTTTTTCTGGTTCTGACACTTAATTTTTCTCTATTTCTAGTCACTTCATGGAGATTTTATCCTTTATCCTCTGACATTTATGTCATAGCTCATTCTCCCTTGTTTCACTATTAGAAACCTAGGTAAAATCAAGGATACATTTAGCTAGCATACAACAAAGTGACATTTCAATATATCCTCTGAAATTAAACAATAATCTGTATATTTGTATAACGAAAGCATTGCAATATATAGGTATCCCACTGAAGAAATATAAGATGTAAACTTCAGATCATATAAAAGCATTAATTCCCAAGACTTTAAAAAAATAGTAATTTCAGCAAAATGTATACATGAGAATAAAAGGAATTTCCAATTTAAGGAATCTCAAAATTGAAAAATTTATGAATTATGTTAGATCCAAGGAATAGAATAAGTGATTACTAAGTATGGTGGTTTAAAAAAAAAGAAGTTTGCCCTCTGTCACCTCATTTATATGACCAGCCCATGGTAAAAGCCTTTGCGTTACATGTACTCGGGCACACAGAATTTTCTTAATTTTTTTTCCTGAAAATATTCTATGCATATTCTATTGTTTTAAAATTTTGATATCAGTTATGAGAATTGCACACTTTAATAAATGATAGAACTAGGGCTAACACTTAGCATATCTATGTTTATCAATAAAACAATTCTAGAAGGCATGGTGAAGCCAAAAATATAGACAAGTTGTGAAATTTTATCTAAGCCTTCCACCTCTGCTTCTAGTGCTTATCCACCAAGCAGTTATTTCTTTCCTGTGAATATATAAAAACCAGAGAAGGCTCATATATTCAAAATAAGTAACCATTGAAAAGAAGTGCAAAATACTAATTGTAAAACAATTTCTAAGTTGCTTTTCAGTATTATTTGTTTCTTTTTGATGAAGTTTGAAACATAAGTAAGTGTGAAATAGAGAAAATAAACTGGTCCAATTTATTAGGAACAAATACTAGTAAGTTATTACTGAGTACATATCATGGTGCATCATTATTTCCCAGACTGTCCTCTATAAAACAGGAGATTACTTGCTGCAAAGTGTTTGTCTTCTCAAAAGTGAGGAAAAGTTATCCAGAAGCAGGGTCTCCGCTGGCCACACTTTTCCTCCTTATTTAACAGTGGGAATAATAAGCATATCTTCACATTAACACACCAAGGAAGTTAAATCATTTCCTCCAAATAGAAGACCTATTGTTAGAATCAAGGGTTTTGAGACCACAGAGAAATCATCAATTTCTATGAGAAATATTAGAAGCCTTTTCTCTGAATGAGGCCACTGTGAAAAACCACTCTGCTGCTACAGCTAAATTAAGTTGAATCAAGAACATTACTTAATCCAGTGGGACAAAAATGTCACCTTCACTCCCTAAATATGCACCTTATTGTTGTACATATATGGATTTTAAATCCTCCATATTTTTCATGATGAAAATAGTTTATATTTAAACACACACACACACACACATACACACACACACATTTGAAAAGAATTCATTTCATTTTGGCCATATCTAGCACTTTTTGTTTGCAGAGATTTTTTGCTGGTATATTATCAATAATTAATGTTTCCAAAAATATCATCACTTAATTTTAGGGTGAGATAATATTTTGTTTTAAACCTAAATAGTAGTGTCCCACCACACATAACCATGTTTGGGGAGAAAATATACTGCATATACAATGGAGATCCTGAAAGATTATTTATCCTGGTATTGTCAGAGATGTCTGAAGTTTGTGGAAGTACACATTTGTGATGATTGTATGTTGGTGAAATTGCCAAATGGCACATTTCTCAGATCATAGCCCCACCATGAACTGAAATATGGCTACATATAATGCATTGAAGGGATATTATAAATAAGTTTTTTGAAATAAGATTTAAAAATTGGAAATTTACTGAAAGCTTATGTACCTGATTAAATTTATTTCTTTTAATATTTAATTCCATATCAAATTTTCTGAGATAAATTTCAAGTTTCTTTTTCACTTCTTTATTATCTTCATTTTCTTTTGGTTTTAACTGGTCATTATTTTATTCAAAAAATAGAGAAT